ATTTTTGTGAGCAAGGCACTAGCCAGCTGGATGTATAAGTGTATAAGTGTTATTTGGAACAAATTACTGCATAGAACATTTTGACCTTGCAAGTAAATTTGTTTTCTCTTATTTATTTTCTTATTTATTATCTTATTTATTTTCAGGTGTATTCAAAATTCCTGTTAACATTCATTCATAGATGGGGTCATTGAGAAATCGCGCATCCGTGGACCCGGTCCATGGAGGGGGTCCATGGACCCGGTCCATAGAGGGGTCCATGGACCCGGTCCATAGAGGGGTCCATGGACTGGGGGTCCATGTTTTGTACTTTCCCCTTCAAATGTCAGTTTTACGTCACGAAAACTGCTAAAAATAGCAAACGTAAACAAACTGTCAAAAGACATTTTAAACCGTATTTAATACCAAAACTGAACAAAAATGAGTTAGATAACTTATATATACACTAAAGCACAATACAAACCATCACAACAGAAATATATATGTCGTGAATAACTTTTAAAGTTTGAAAACTAACAATTTATCCTGGAATTTAGCTGTCAGTTAAAATACGCGCGGTAGACTATAACGGTGATGTTTATATGATTTTGTTTGTGCTTAAAGTTTGCAATAATTCGCACTAAAATATCTTGAAAATCATTGTAAGCCTATTTATATAAAGCATAATAAGCATATACATCGACAAGGAACGGGAAAACTCAAAGTTTAAACTTCGTGACCGAATGACATAAAACTGACATGTCAACTCTAGCATTTTCGACCTTGGTCGCGTAATTTTGAAAACGGGTGCAATACACTCTCTTCGCCACGAACACAAAATAAACAAATTAACTCTATCAGTTTAAGGCTAATTATGAATAATACTAAATGGTATCTGCTATAAGAGCTATACTGACCCAGGGGCGAAACTAGCCCCTTTTAATTCGGGGGGTGTCTGCCAATTCCTGTTATATAATACCTTATTAAATTCTAATAATTTAATTGGCTGTTTATGGTCATGTGATATTGAATAGAAAATTCCATTTCCCAAGAGTGCAATGGAACACGTTCCATTGCACTCTCCGCGAGTGCAATGGAATAAAACGTATAGTGCAATTGCACTCTTTGTGTTTTCGATAAATCGCATCCCTCAAAATGCTTCTCATACGAATCTATTAGTCTATTTTGGTATTATATAAAACAAATAATGAAAGTTTCTTCGTGCAATGGTAAGAATATTTTCATTCGGTGAAAGATGGAATGTTCCATTCAACTCGGCTGTCGCCTCGTTGAATGGAACATTCCATCTTTCACCTCATGAAAATATTCTTACCATTGCACTCATAAACATTCATTATTTGTATATTAAAACATGGCTTAAACCCTTATTTTTGGACCCGAATATAAATTCTATAAATTCCCTCTGAAAGCCCTGTAAATTACTTAACTCTACATTCTATCATTTAAAATCTTTGATTGCCCTGCCAATCCACATGATTCGTATTGGGGGGGGGGGGTTATCGCCCCTAGCTATATCTATGCAGTCGGCATACAACTATATTTACATGAAACGGCCACATTTGATATTATACGCACGAGTTTCCTCGACAATAGTGGCACAAAGTCCCACACGATATAGAGCGTGCTCCTAAGATTGAACGCTGTTCATCAGTTTATTCAAAACAATAAATAAATAATAGTAATTTCTACCAACCTTAGGTCCAGGATATGATTATTCCTTGACCGACCTCTTATCCGCAATTCCCGCCAAAACTCTCACGACTGAGTGCAAATTCCCGCCAAAATCTTTACGACTGAGTCACTTCGATGTTTGTCAGGAAATGAGTCCGCCTTTTACAAATTGCAACCCGCGATTTGTAAAACACGGACTCAGTCCGCGTTTTACAAATCTTAGTTTGCGATTTGTAAAACACGGACTCAGTCCGTGTTTTCCCGGTCCAGTCCAGTCCAGTCCGTGTTTTACAAATTCAGTCCGCGATTTGTAAAACACGGACTCAGTCCGCGTTTTCCCGGTCCAGTCCAGTCCAGTCCGGTCCAGTCCAGTCCGTCTTTTACAACATGCCCATATATTCCCCATGCAATAACAATTAACAACATTCCTTTTATCTCATGCCTGTCAATCAATTTCCATATATGGCAGCACCTCATCTCTAAATTTAACTACTAATTATTAATGTCAACCTTTTTCCCGACACGATTAAAAATGGTTCAACGGACTACAGAGCAAAGAGTTTTTACTGTTTTACGCGCTGCGTTAAATTTAATAATCAGCACATAATGCATATTCATATGTTGAACGACACCAAAAACTTTTAAAAAACTGCCATGCATGCATAAAATTCGATTCAATTGTGTTTACGTACCCATGGGTTCAGTATAGGACTGAGGCATTCAAATTACAACAATAATTAAGGTGAATTTCTAAAGGTCACTTTTTTTTAGACACCCTGTATCCTGATCAGGGCGTCTATATAAGAATTCTTATAGACGCCCTGATCCTGATGAACATTTGATTGGGG